GTGTCCGTTCTTCATCTTGTCAGTTCTTAGTTCACAAGGGCCTTTGTATTTGTATTGCCTTTGATCAAGTGTTTGATGAACTTACCAGAGGCCATTGTGTGAACTTAGCCTGTTTAACTGTCTAGCTAGCTTTAGAAGTTCCTTTCCCTGTAGTCTTAGCTGGTGCCAGAGAAAAAGCAAGTCCTGGTTGCTTTCCACCCACGGCCCGCATAGCAGGCTTGCAGTCATTTTAATCAGCATATGCTCCCTAGTCCCAAAACCCTGGCATGAGCATTGTAAATCCTGGCATGTTCTGTGGAGTGCAGAAGCAGGAAGGTGATCAAAGGGCTAATGAGTGAATACAGATAAAAGCAAATGAAACCAGAAATGATTCAGTAAAATGGGTAGGAAGAGATCAGTGTTACCTAGATACATAAACTTGACATCAGTAATTTGACAGGGTGCAAACTTGTCTAAGTGCTGTACCTACCTGGCCAGCAGAGGTCATCAAAAGGCTAGGAAAAGGAAAAGGAGTTGATGAAATGAAAACATGGTTCCGTGCCGGTAGCGCCTAGGTATCCATGTTAACTGATGTTAATCCGGGAGAGGACTCATGGTTTGCTGGAACGGAAGGCTTACTTTGGTGACCAGCTAGCTGCCCTTAACACTTCTCTGCAACCAGAGATGGTTTCTTGATTGAATGTTTTAAGTCTCCACCCCACCACTTCAAAGTGAGTACTTTTGGACACCTGCAGAGGAATTGACAAAAGAAATTGAATTTTTAGGAACCAAAGTAAAATATGATGAAAGCCTGAAGATTAACACTGCCCTGCTGGCAGAGGCTTTTATTTCCATCATTCTACAGATCAGAGTTAGTGCAACCATAATTTAAGATTATGGACACCTGTCCATAAAGTGCAACCAAAGTTGTAAGAGAATGATGGTACATAGCCAGCATCATTCTTCATGCACAGAGAGAAATTAATTCATTATGTGCAGTGAGTGCTTTAAGACTTAACTTTCTAGTGGCACCTGGTGGAGAAGGAAGAGGAAACAATGTTACTTGAGCCCCAGTTAATTCATGGAAGGACAAGTACCAGAAGTGTTTTGGAGCAATGACCAAGCAGTAATTTGTGTATTCAGGCAATTTACAGGGCATTCTCCAGGAAACAATTGCAGGTTGCCTAAATGTATAACAATGAGAGGATAGTTAAATAAATTAGAGTAGATCCAGTTGGTGACCTATTATGTAGTCACTGTAAATAATTTTTTTTTTAAGTTTGGGAGTCATAACTCTTCATTCCTTAACTTACTGTCCCTTTATCAGTTATTTAATCTTTAATACTTAAATCACAGAATTGCAAGAATGAGATGATGCATATAAACCATTGAACACCTGGAAGGTACTCAGTAAATGGTTAATATGTTTATTAGTGTGTATTATGAGAAACATGAGAAAGGCCACAAAATATACACACACACACAGATGACTAGGAAAAGACAAAAGGGAAAACATCATAATGCCACCTGGAACTGTTAAAGAATGAGTTGAAAGATACTGTAACTTGTTCATTGGCTGCTATTTATCTGCCATCTTTTAAACATTAAAATGCCACATTTATAATGAGATTAAAATAGGTTGTAGTTGTTGGCACATGTTTCGTATACATAATCATGGAGTTAGCTTTGGTTTTAGTTTTGTTTTCTTGAGCAGCAAAATATTAAAATTGCCTGGGGAATTACTTAAGGAAATACAGTGTTAAGGATGAAAAGTTTCTGATACCAAAACAGACTAAAGATCTTTTTTAAGGGCCTTTTGTCTTGTTCTGTGATCTACCTATGAGTAGATTAAAAACGATCATTCTATTTCACTGAGTTTCAGGAATCTTAAACTTTAATTCATTGGCCAAACTGCAGGTGAATAAGTCATTAATTATATATACGTTTCTTAGAAAAGTGAAGGTGTCTTAGTCGTTTGGGGGAGTGCGTGGAAACGGGAGGCTACCAGGTCTGCAGCATGTTGTTGTGAAGTTTTTGGACTGTTTGCCGGATTGAGTGTACTTACTGCGGAGTTGCCAGAGCCTGCAAAGACTGAGCCCAGGAAGATCCTCAGCTTCTGCCTGGTCCTGAGCTACAGAAAGTATTTTTTTATAGCTAGCATTTTTTTTTCAAGTGCCACATGTTCCCTTTTAGTCCTTCTGACTTGTTCTGAAAACCAAATCCCTCACTTAGAAAGTTACAAGATCTGTATCTTTCCCCTTAAGTACGTACTCTGCTGGGTTTCCATCAGTAACACTCTGCCAGTGGAGTATGCTTGGTTTTGGCCTGACAGAGGAAAATTAAGAAAGACTCATTTTGGCTCCTATGATGACACTTCCCAGGCACACAGGTTACTTTTCCCTGGACAGTAGAGGGGTGTGAAGTCAACCACTTTGGGATAGGTGGACCACTCCGTGAATTGTTTTCGTTTATTGTGTGTTTTCTACTAAGAATTGGGAAAAGAAGAAAAAACATTATTTTGTAAAATCAAATTTGGTAATTTAATAATCATGTGGAGATAGAAACGCATGGGGCTGTTGACAGAGTAGTGTGTACTCCCTATCTTCTTTGTTTTGGTCTTGTAGCAGTGAACACTCATCACCTTTGACTCCCCAGCATTACAGGGCATTTTCGTACTTGCAATAAATATTTTCCCACAGTTGTGCTTTTTTTTTAAGCTTATCGGAAATCCTTTGCTCTTTGACAGTAATTAGATTAATTTCTTCAGGACTCAATGTGGGAAATAAGGCCATGAGACTAGCAGAAGCTAGTTTTTACTGGCATTTGTTTAGAAGGGTAAATGAGCATTTTTAAACATTTTTCTTCAGGAATATTCCTGTAACTATTTGAGGTTGACATGCTGTGATCTCAAAAGGAAAAAAAAAAACAACGTAATTCTATTCTTCTCAATTTCTTTCTTTCCCCAGCATACTGTTCCCTATTTTCACTATTGTCCTACTGGTTGGCTCCTGTTCTGGTAGAATTGTGGGAAAAGGCCTTTATAAATCACTACTGATGGTGATATTTTTTTAACCTTTTTTTTCTTTTACAGTTACACAGAATAAGTATATATATGCACACCCACTGTATATTAATAACTGAAGTCATAGTTTCACTGAACATTCATCTTTATTTAGTGTAATATGTTGTTTTCTTTTCTGGTTTGTGTTTTTAAAAAATACTAGTGTCAGCCTTCTAAATTGGTTTCATGGCTTTTCTAAATTACGTCCAGACTCTGCTTCCACATCTTCATCTGGCCGGCACCCCCACTGGACAGGCCCGAAGAGCACGCTTGGAGGCCATCCTCTTGGTCTGCCCTCTTAGCACAGGCTTGGGATTTGGCTACAGTTACTTCCAAGTCATGGGTCATAATGTCCACTCTGGGATTCCACAAACCAATAAAATGCCAATAAAAAAACTGGAGGACCAGCACAGCATTGCCAGCTAAGTTGCTAATGAAGTAGGAAGGACATGATCTCTTTGTTAATATACTCTCATCATTGTAAAGTAGCAGGTTTATATTGAGCTCTTTTGTGCCTGGCACTGTTCTAAATGTACTTCGTGAACTCATTTATTTAATCCTCCCAAGAATCCTGAGGAGGAGGGTCTGTTCTCCCCATTTAAGCCAAGTAACAGGCTTGGACACAGCTAGGAAGTAGGGCAGAAATGCCCTGGAACGGATTTTGTCCCTGACAGCACCGTGAAAGAGCAGACAGGACCCAAGATAGAAATAGAGTAGATGTGGGAAAATTGCTCTTCCCAGGAAAGGGGCTTGGTGGTGCTGATCGATACACCTAATACATCGTGGTGTTTTCCTCATTTTGAAGACAAATGGGCCAGGTAATTAAACAGCATTGCTCCTGAAAAATGCCTCCCGGTGCTTGTTTCTGTATTTGACTAGCTTAATTCTGTTCATCCGGATATCCTGAGATGATGTTTTAAGCCACATTTAGTAGCTGTGCGAACACGTGGTGGGACTGGTAAGAGAGGCACCCTCTGGGTTGATGCTGCTGCCTTATTTCCTCTCTGCATTTTAATGGGCTTGAAATAGATTTGGGGTACACAAAAAAACAAACAATAGAGTTAATAATAATCAAAAGGAAAACTGCCTGAAGGTTTGCTTCCCCAGCGATTCCTTGATTGATTCTTGGCTACTGAGTGCCTTCTCTGTGTCTTGTTGTCTTGTTGCCGAGCATGCGGCAGGAGCACAGAAGAGAGGCTGCCCAGCAGACGTAGGTTTGTGATGTAAGTAGAACCAGAGAACTGATGACAGGGAGCCGATCTTGACTGGGGGGAACAAGATTCAAAGGATGTTGCTAGAAGGTATGTTAAAAATAAAAACAGAATGTTTTGAGTTGAGGAGAGTCCGTGTGTTTGTGTACAAAAGCCACAAGGTACTCAGACAAGAATGGAATATAAATTTGTCAGACAAATGTGCTAATAGACTTGAATAGTCTTAAAGACTAGGGAACTATAAGGCTTTAAAGAAAGTAGGTTTTGTAGCTAAAAACTTAATAACTTGTTCTTTTTTCAGACACCTTCAGCAGTAAACAAGATAAAACAGCTTCTTAAAGATAAGCCCGAACACGTAAGTAAAACCAATCAGATGAATATTCAGTAAAAAAAATTGAAGCATTTTCACAATGAATTATCTTGTGATACACAGTATGTTTTCATTGGTTAGGGATTTTTATTTAAAAAGTAAAATACGCTCATGATTTTTAGAGGCTCAAATAAAATATAACAGGGTATTGAGTGAAAAGGACGTCGTTTTCTGACCCAAACTCTTGGCTGTCTTTCATCCTTCTAAGGGGCCACCTCTTAAGTGTCCTTCCTGAGATGAACGTTTGTGTGTCCATCTCCTTCCCTACTTAGAGAAAGCATTCCATACATGCTGTGGTTACACTTTGCTTTTTGCCCCTAATAATATAGCTTGAAGTTCTTTCCAGAGCATTACAGAAAGACCCACCTTTTTTATGACTGGATATATTAGTATATTTTATTGAACAGCTTCTATTTATTTAGCCAGTCCCCCATATTAAGGTCTTTGGGGTTGTTTACATCTAGTGCTGCCACCAATATTATTCAGCAAATATTTAGTGTCTGTAGCGTGTCAGGCCCATTGTTCTAGAGGACTAAACCTGTGAGCCTGGTTTAGTGCACCCCTGTAGGCTGTCCTCCTAGACACAGAACTGTTGAGTAAGGGGAGCGTGCATCGCCTTCACCTTAGGGCATTGTTGCCCGTGGAATACTGTAAATTACGTCCAAGTACTAAACTACTGATACTTAGTAATTAGACTTTGGAGTGGTGTCTAGGTTCTGTTGTACAACCTACATTACAGTGTAATGAAGTTCTGGCACATTCCTCCTAAGAATTACTAAATGCTAAAATGTATGTGGCAACCCCATTTGGATAGACTGATGGAAAGAGTATATATACACGGGCCAGATGAAACCCTGGTGTAGCTGCATGTAGGTTTGAGGGATGACAATGACATGAAGAGGATGGAGCACACACGCCTCATTGGGTGTCACTGCTGGCGCGAGCAGTCCCTTTTCCAAACTCCAGGTACCTAAAGCTGCATTTTCCTGTCTTCTGTAAGTGTCTGTATTCATTCCTAGTCGTTGGACCTCCTGCTTTGCTTGAGTCTTTTGGTTTATAAAGATAAAAGCTAAGTCAAGTTAATACTCAGGACATGTGCTCCAGAATTCCAGCTAGATGGTTTCTTATTGGCGATGCTGAATGTGTGAATCGGCCCGCACGTTCTCTTCCCTCACTCTGGGAGTGAATAAGACCACAGTTCTGTCTCCTTGTCAAAGACAGAAGAGACTACAGTCAGAACTCCCGGGCGGCTTAGCATTCTCGCTCCCACTCTCACCAAGTGTCTTCCCGCTCCGTGATTGCTCCTGAAGCAGATGTACCATTGCTGTGAAGAGAAGTGGGGTCTGCTTGGCAAAACCCTGCTTTTTGTGATGATACTTACACTGTATACTTCAAAAAAGCAGATAGGATCCAAGATTAGAAGTTCGGTAGATATTGTTAGAAAATCACACTAAGATAGACATTAGATGAAGGCTGGTATTTTGAAAGTGCAGTTTGGTCCCATTTTAACTTCTTAACGTCTGTGTGGGCTGCAGTCTTTTGATTTCTGGTACTTGAGAATGTTTGCGTAGTTCAGTGTTAGAATTAAGGCCCTGTGTAGAGGCAGGATGGTTTCCAGGGGACGGCCTAGGGACCTCACTGAACCTAAACATAGGGAAGCTTCCTGAGAACATCTCTTGCAATGAGGTGGAGCACAAATATTTTTGAGGAATTGAGAATTTGTTAGGTATGGGCTCCTGGGTGGCTAGGTTCCTTCGCCTCAGGTCATGGTCCCAGGTCCTGGGATGGAGCCCTGCATCTGGCTCTCTGCTCAGCAGGGAGCCTGCTTTCCCCTCTCTCTCTGCCTGCCTTTCTGCCTACTTGTGATCTCTGTCAAATAAACAAATAAAATCTTTTTAAAAATGTTTAAAAAAAATTTTTTTAATTCTAAAAAAATTTTAAAAATGTTTTATTAGGTAGTCATCTGTGCCATCAGGTACTTTTCTTTTTCCTTTAAAAAAGGGATTTTTCATGTTTAGAATTAAAATTCTTCAGGCACCTGGCTGACTCAGTTGGTAGAGCAGGTAACTCTTGATCAGGGGGTTGTGAATTCAGGCCTCACATTGGGCAGAACTTACTTTAAAAAACAAAAGCAAAAAAAACCCCTCTTCCTTTAAAAATGTTATTCCCAGCCTAATCTGCCAAAAGCAAGGGTTAAGTAGTTAACATACATTGGTATAGTGGACTGCCAAGGCGTTATATGCAGATGATAATTGTGACAGTTAATCACATGGAAGGATGATGTCTTAAGTGGCAAAAACAAATCAGAGAATTAAGACTTATTCCTGTTATAATAAAGCCTGTGTTTAGATTATATGTATCTATGACAAGGACCGGAACTAAAAAGGAAAAAAAAATGTTTTCCGTAGAGTGGTAGTGACTGGTTTTGGGTTTTTTGCATTTAATTGTTTTTATTTTAGGATCCCCACTAGTATTGCAGTGCTGTTTGTTAAATAGCTAAATTTTTTAAATGCTTGTTTCCCTTTCCACTTATACTTCTTGATGGCACATTTCATAGCCAGAAATCTAATATCTCTTTAAGCTTATGAAGAAACAAATAATGTCAAATAGCCAGAGGGGTTTTTTTTTAATTTTAATATAAATTTTTTTTATTTTTTATAAACATATAATATATTTTTATCCCCAGGGGTACAGGTCTGTGAATCGCCAGGTTTACACACTTCACAGCACTCACCATAGCACAAATAGCCAGAGTTTTTATGAATGTTTAATATGTACTACTTTAAAACTAAGTTTATATTTACACTGCTTTTTCAGGTAGGTCTGAAAGTTGGTGTCCGAACCAGGGGTTGTAATGGCCTTTCTTATACTCTAGAATATACAAAGACAAAAGGAGATTCTGATGAAGAAGTTGTTCAAGATGGTGAGTTCCAAGCATACATAGAGCTTGCTGTGAGGTAGGGTGGTTTGATGGACTTTCATGTATCAGATGATTGATACACGGCAGCTGAGTGAGAATGGTACCGTATCGTCCCACCTTTTGCTGATTAAGAAACTGAGACATGGGGAAGTGAAGTAGCTTGTCTGAGGGTCACTCCGCTAGTTCAGTGGCCTGGGGAAAAGTTGAACCTACTCAAGTTGGCTCCAGAAGGTATGCTCTTATCATTTGTTTTATTTCAATTACAAAAGATAATCATTGCAGAAGGATTTTAAATGCTAAACTTCAGACCAAACCATCCATCTTTTGGGAAGCAGCAGTTTGATGTCTATACCAAATAAGTAAATAAGTAATGTCATCTCATGCTTTTGAAGAATCTGTGTTTTAATTTTTATTAAAAATGCCAGTGCTCTAATTCTCTCTTGCCCCCTGGCCCTACCCAGTAACCTAATAAAACCTATTTAAAACAAAATAATGTCACGGCCTCAGGGGAACTTCAGCGAGCACTAGCACGGGTATTTCAGTGGCAGCTCTGCGTCAGAGCTGTGCTATTACATAGCTAATTCATCTCATTAAAGTGAAGTTACCAATGATGACATTTTTGTTGTTGTTGTTTTTAACAAGTTGTTTTAAAGTGAAGTTACTGACCAATGATGACATTTTGTGTTGTTTTTTAGATCGCTACATAAAATACCTTAAATATTAAATTTTTAAATTTTAAATATTAAATATTTCTGAAGATGATTTCTAATAACTGTATACAGTTTATATTTGAGTAATCAGTTTCTTATAAGGAAGAAAGCTTTCTTAGACCAGTTATATTTATGAAGATACCAGCCTCTACCACCATAATTCCAGGGAGTTACGTTACTGCCAGTTTTCCGGCCCGTGAGCAGAAGAACAAAATGGCCACGTTGCACTGATGGGCCTCATGACACCAGCCCAGTGTATCACAGTCCTGTGTATGTGTCTCAGCTTGCCAGTGTGTCATGTGTACAGATGTCCGTGCAGGCTTTTACACATTTATTGACTCTGTTTTTACAGAAGTCTCAGAACATACGCCTTTCCTTCATGTTGCAAATTGGGAAAAATGGGTGAAGTACAGTGAAAAGCAAATTCTGGTTTTGCGTGGAACTGTCATGGAGTATGTTTCTCTGCACCTGTCAGGCCTAATACTGTGTTTGACTTAGATCATTGGGTGGAAAAGGGACAGACAGGAAACTGAGCACCAAACCTCTTAAAGGAAATAATGAGATAGATTCAGAAGCTTCCTGTTAGACTTTTGTCGGTGGTTACTATTTTAAAAGTTCACTTGTGCTTTGAATCAGCAGGTTCCATAGACCTGCAGGCTTTATGTGACACGTGTTTTCTTCTCCCCAAGGAGTCAGAGTGTTCATCGAAAAGAAAGCACAGCTAACACTTTTAGGAACAGAAATGGACTATGTTGAAGATAAATTATCCAGTGAGTTTGTTTTCAATAACCCAAACATCAAAGGAACGTGTGGCTGTGGAGAAAGCTTTAATATTTGACTACTCTGGCTGTAAGCTCCAGGAACACTCATGGAAGTCCTAGGGCTTACCAAAGAAATCATGTGACTGTCACGTGCTTAAAGTTTATAATGTATGACTGCCTTACAAGGAAAATAAAATGATGCATTTTGAAAGTGAAGCCAGTGTGTTAGATTCCAGAAGAAGCGATACTTGTATTCTTTTTAGAGGCAGGAAACGAGAAGCCATTCCTCTCTTTGGGTCATTTTCCTGATTTTTAAAGAAAAAAAATCCTACCCTGCACTTAATTGTCTTGCATCCTTTCCATTAGAAGCAGCTTCACGAACGCTGTCTACCTGGAAGGATTTCAGGAAATGTATTTTTAATACGCGTGCACGCCATAGCTTGCTGTTGAGAGTGGCATGAACGTGCATTTCCCGACCAGATTAATGGCTCGTAAAATTCAGAGGCAGAAGATCCTGAGAGCGGGCGTGACATGGAACTGCACTGGTTTTCTCCCCAAACTTGACGGCATTTCTACAGTTGTGTCCAAAATGTCTTTGTCAGATGCCTCATTTGCTTTACCCTTTAGCAGCACCAGCCAGTAGATGAAAGTATCGAACAGAGATTTCCTTGAACTGCAGTGCAGAACAGTTCTGAGTGCTGGCATCAAAAGGTAAGAAATACTTCACACACTGTTTTTAATCCATTTCTTTTGCCACCCAAAACGTCCCCTCAAAGGTGGAATCTCAAGCTGGTGTCTTAAAAGCCATCCAGCATACCCCCTCGATTCCATACCTGGGGAAGCAACCCCCAGTTCGTCCACCGTCACTCTGTGGGCTGTGTAGCCGCAGAGCTGGGACAACTCTCTCCTCCCGCCCGTGTAGGGGACATTAGCTCTGCAGTCAGTGAAGATCAGTGTGTGGTCTGGCTTCTTTATCTGATTGGCATTTTGATAAGATTTCTTTGTAATTTGATGAAGCTCATACTTAGTTTATTTTATTTTGAGTGAGAAGAATCTTATTTTAAAACCCACTTATGTGAATTACCATCTTGTTTCTTTAGAACTTTCAAACAGTGGTTTATGCTAGCAGAGAAGACATTTGTAGCAACCCCGAAATATCCTTTCGAGTATAGTTGTCAGTTTGAAGCAGCACATGAGGGTCTTTTCTTAAAATTCCCAATACGTGTACACTTCCTGTATCTCAAGTTCAATGACTGAAATTCTTAACCTAACATTTCGTCACCAACTTTTCTTTGATGGCATTCTTTTTGCCATTTAGTTACTGGTTTTCCTGGGTTTGACATACTAAGAGTTCTATGAGAAAACACATACGCTTTTTTTTGAAAGCTGACTTTGTATTGAAGTAGCCGTCCTATTTATGTCCGTCGTGTTTACTGAAGTAGCTGGCACAGAGTACACCATCGCCCAGAGCAGTAACTGTATGTACGCGCTCCTGAGTCCATATTGTTAATGATTGTCAGCCCACTTATTATCTGTGCAATACTGTACGTATGTAGAGATTGAATTGTCAATAAAAAAAGGACATGGCCTCATTGTGATCATAGAATTGCCTTTTCTTTATAATGAAGAAGGGTTTGGGAATAGTAGCTCTTCCAGCGACTAATGAATAATGGCTGTTTTCTCTAACCAGTCTTGTCGCCAACAGGCATTTTCTGTGCCAGATTCTGTTGCATCATCATCTTGCTGCTGTGTTCTCCATGCAGCCCTTTGACAGAGCCATTTGGGATTTCTCTTGGCCCCAGACCATCAGCATTCCCTTTCTTCTGCAGCCTTGTCTTCTCCCTGTTTTGCTTCCTCCGTCCTCTCACACAGATTCCTTCTTATGTTCTCGTGTCATAATCTCTCCCTGGAATGCTGTTTCCAGATCTGTCTTCCAGGCTTTATGTTCACCTCAGGCATGTTTATAAGCACCTGCTCTCTGCCTGCTCTGAGGTTTCACAGATGACTGGAGCTACTCCCCAACCTCGAGATCTTAGGGTTGGCAAATGAGACACCAATGAAGAGAACGCTCTAAGTGTTGTAATACTTAGTAAAATGTATTGCATACTTGCTCCATGCCAGGAGCTGTTTGAATGCAACCTTCACAGTAAGCCAGTGAGGTACGTCTGACTCCTGTCATTTCATAGATGAGAAATTGAAGCATGATGTGAACAAAATAGTGGGCCTAAGTAACACGGTCAGTGGCCAGGTCAGAGTGACAGCCCACATCATCAGGCACCAGCCTGTGCTCCCAGCAGTCAGGCCATGCTGCATGTTCTAGCACCAAGATGGCTGCACTTTCTAAGAAGTTGTCTTCGAGGTCGTGACACTTAGGCCAAGCTTAAAAAGCCCTGAGAGATTAGGGGAAGAGGGAAGAGAACAGACAAAACTAAAGAGGATTGAAAGCATGCAGGAAGCTAAGTTCTCCGAAGAATATGAAGCAGAAGGGCAACAGGACAGAGAACATTGGGGCTTTCACTTTCTGTACAGGCGGGGAACCACTCCGTCATTACAAGGGGGCCATGAAAGCATCTGCATTCAGAAGTGTCTGGCTAGCTGGCTGCCTGTGGAGCATGGAGAAAGCTTGCCAGCGAGGAAGACAGGAGGAGGTACTGCAGAAGCCCGAGTGGGGCCTGAGGGGGAGACCGGTGAGAGGCTTTGGACGGGCCGTTGGCAAGACTCCATTGACCAGACCAAGCTCAGCAGGGCTGTGGTGGTGTGGCCCCTGACTAATCACACTAGCAACACTTTACTGGGGATTTTTGTTGTTTTAGTCTCGCACAATATCAAAAGGTTTTTGAATACGGAGCTTAATCATTTCTTCGGTGTTCATTTAACAACAGTCATGTTGTCATTATTTTTTACAAAAAGACTCCAACAGCCACATCCTGTTCTTTCCCATTTCAGCCAAGCTCCTCTTCAGACCCTGGGTGGACCCTCTGAGAGGTCACTTCATAGTGCCCCCATGTGACATGGAGGACATCAGCTGCTGTGGTGGGAGCGTCACACAGAGACAGGGCCGATGGTTTTTTAGTTAGAAGAGCAAACTAGAAGCCCACTCCAGTGGCTGAACTATCCCAGGAAGGATTTCAGGAGGCAGAGGCTACAGCATTCTTCTGCAACTTGCTGTCTCTCTGTCCTCTGCCCCACGAGAATGATCTTCTCTTTGGCAAAGAGGAAGAAGGGGGTGGCGTTTGGAAAAATCCCCAAAAGATCAGACATCCGTAAGATTTCCAGTACTTCCTAGGTTTCATTCATCAGGAAATACCTCTAAAAAACAGCCTTTCTTGTCGTGTTTTGATGTCTGAGACCAGGAAATGCGAAAAGTCTGTGATGTTAAGCCGCCTGGTCATTTTCATGCCGTCAGCGGTGAGGCCTGTGGAGCCTGCAGAGCTCTTTACAGGCGTCCAGTTTGTGCCTCAGTGCAGACGTGCCGGGGGCCACGAGATCTCATCACCCCAAGGGTGAACACATGTAACCAGCCTGATGTGGGGGCTCAGTTCGGCAGTTCATGAGATGCCGGCTGCAAACCTATAGGTCTGGGGAGAGATAACACCTGGATTTAAATCACCTAACCCATGCCAGGTTAAAAAGCTACAAAACGACAGAGCCCATGTCTAATTATGGGCTCTGTCGTTTTGTAGCCTTTTAACCTGGCATGGGTTAGGTGATTTCTCTGAGCCTTGTTGCCCCTTCTGTGGAACAGTCTCAGGATTTGGGGGAATTTGATGAGCTAATTACACGTAAACAGCATGCACGTTAGAGTTAAAGAGTTTGTAGTTTTAGTCCTTTATACTTGTGGTTATTAGTCAAAGCCAGAGTTTAGGGAAAGGAGTATTTCCATTCAATTAGGGAGTTACTGCGCCATATTAAAATCTGGGGGAGATTTCCTTATTTCTTTACGTGACCACAAATATACAGAGAAATTTTTTTCTCTTTGTAGCTAATTAGCCGTTAAGAGAATTCCCATGTCAGGGGGCCTTAGAGGTTCAGTCAGTTAAGTGTCTGCCTTCAGCTCAGGTCATGATCCCGGGGTCCTGGGACTGAGCCCCATGTCAAGCTCCCTGCTCGGCAGGAAGCCAGCTTCTCACTCTGCCTCTGCAGCTCCCCCTGCTTGTGCATGCTCTCCCACCCCCTTAAATAAAATCTTAGAAATGAAAGAAAAGCCCGTGTAGAGAGATGTGTCTTAACCAAGTAGCTGAACGCCCTCCTTGGGCTGGAGGATCCACCTACCCTGTTCCTCTGTGATGCGGAGCCGTGTTGGGAGTGAGCCACAGTGGGATATGCGATAGCGACTGCCTCCCTTGCTCTCCACCAAAACCTTTGGTAAAGGCTAGGGTTCTCATGAATGACAGAACATAATCTTCCCCACGGCAAGGGCTCTGTACCAGTGATAGCGCCCCAACATAAAATTCCCCTAGGTCTTTGATAGCCCTAGTGGATTGCATCATAGGTTTACTTCCATGAACGGGTAATTCCCACCTGTTTACTCTCAAGTACACGTTTAGGGGTGCCTTACTGGCTCAGTCAGAAGAGCATGCCGCGCTCGATCTCAGGGTCGTGAGTTGGAGCCCCACACTGGCTGTAGGAAATACTAAAATAATAACTTTACGTGTTTATTGTTCTCCATAGAGTCCACGTCTTCAAGCAATCCTTGGACTTCAAGGTATAAATGAATCTGAGGATCTTGCTAACAGTGCAGACCTGATCCCAAAGGTCTAGGGGTTCTGCACGTTGAGCCAAGGTCCAAGTAAAGCCCATGCTCGTGCTTTGCAGACCACGTTTGAGTAGGAAGGTTTTAAACTATCTCCAGAGAGTACCTGCTTGTATTAAGTGATAAGTCGCACTTGTGTTTGTTTTTACCGACTACCCATCACGGTGTTCAGGGCTTCTGATCGGCCCGAGATGTGGCTGTGTTGCCATCCTTGAGATGACGGGACACTCAGACTGCTTATCTGCCAGTTTTCACTATAAGCACTGTCTGATACCTTTCAGTGTTGTGAAATACTTAATGTCTCAAGGATGTCCAGCCCCATTTCCACTTAGCTTCCTTGGTGGCTGGGTGCCCAGCTCAGTCCCCACTGTATTACCCAGCACAACCAGGCGACCTGGACAGCCCATAAATTGTTTTGACCCTAATACTCTGGAACCAGAATCCTCAGATTGACCAAGTTTGACATCTCAGGGAGGGGAAATCTTTCACGGCCCTTCTCTGAGCGGCCACAGGTGGCGGCACAGGGCCTTGCCTTTCCTCAGGAAATGTGTTTTGTGGTAAACTGCACAGAACAGAATTTACCATTTAAGCCAGTTCAGATGGTGCAGTTCATTGGCCATAAGTACCTTCACAACCGTCACCATCCGTCTATAGAACTTTCTCATCTTCCGAAACTGAAACTCCGTACCCATTAAACACTAACCGTTTGTTCCGACCCACCACCAGTCTCCTGTCTCTGGACTTGTCCAGTCTAGGCACCTCAGCCCCGCAGTCACACAGCGTGTGTCCTCGTGTGTCTGGTCAAGGGATACAGTTTTAATCTTCTTCAGCAGGAGGCATGACCTACATAGTTAATACTGTTGCGCTTTAACCCATGCTGGTGGAGTCCGACTGGCCACCGACGATGTGTCTGCTGATGGTTGTTTATGAACAATTGAGGGCAGTTTAAGAAAAGCATCAGACAGGAGAAAAAGCATCAAAAGACTGCACTCAACAGACCCAGACAAAATTCCTTCTGAGGACTTGGGAGAAACAGGTAAAACGAAGTTAAATATATAGCATAACCCTCACTTTTGTCAGGGAACAAAGTCCAGGGACATAATTTGGTGCTACAACAGATCTTTTCTCCCTCCTTTTCTTCCCAGCGCAGCCCCAATCCACTTCTAGCCAGACCTTGTGGGCAGAGGTAGAAAGCCGTCTGTCTCCCAGTAACTGCCTCGATTTCTCTTCTGCATCTTGTCCATATCTATAGAAGGGAAAACTTGACAATTCAGCTATTTAATTTACTACTTTTTCAGTTAACTTACTACTTAATCAGCTACTTTTTAAAATGTCCATCCTCCACATTCCACCCATTACCCTCCTACAGGAAGATAGTTCCATGACCCTTCATGTCATGAGCTCTTTATGTGACCTTGAGGAGGTACATATGTCACAATGCATAGTTATTTACCAACACTAAGCATTAGGATTGCCAGATCCAGGCTAGCCCAATGGGGTATCAGATGAATGAGACCCAGCCCTGCTCCCAGACATGCCGGTTCATGAACAAGATGGCCACATAATTAAAAAGCAAGTGGTAAGTGCCACCCCTAAGGGCATAATGAGAGAAGAGAAAACGGGAATTTCAGCCAGCTTGGGCGTGGCTAGGAGAGGAGGGGTGAGGTGGGACGTGGAGAGAGACTGGAGAGGCTGGTGCTGAGGGATGAGGTGGTAGCTGGGTTATCTACAAATCAGGGTTGGGAAACTGACCTCCTTCCAGCAGGTCAGCAGGAAGCTGGACCCAGCTGGTCATGACTGAACTCACCAGTCCCCCTCTTCCCTTGGGGCCATCACTTAGCAGCCTTGCCCTCTTCCTGGATGTCTGTGCCTTCCTTCCCCACCCACCATGTTCCCACTGACTCTGAACCCTGACTTGGCTCTCCTCTCACTCAGCCTGTCCTCACACCCAGCCCTGGGAGTGTACGGCCTCGGTAGAGGCAACAGTTTGAAAGAGGAGGAGATCAGAAGATAGTAGAGAGCTCCCTCTCCCAGCTTCCCTTGGGCCCAAACTGCATGGTGGAAATAAATGAGCTCATCAAACTGGCTTCCATCCAAAGCTGCCAGGCGTTACCTCCTCTCCCTGCCCAAGCAGACCTGTCAGTCCAACCAGTGTCACTGAGCAGGTATCATTCCCTGGGGACCATTCACAGAGCTCAGAGGACAGGATCGGTCCATGGCAATCCCTTGGATGGAATCACACTGTTCCAATGCATCTCACCACTTCCTACTCCACCTGCGATCCACCTAGGGTCTTGTCTTCCATCTCCCCTTCCATACATGCTACCTTACGTCTCAGGTGCTAGGGGCGCCCGTAAACACACGGCGGTGGTGTGGACGGCAGACAAAGCTAAGGCCGATCACCCAGGCAGTGCCTCCAGACTGGCCTAGGAGCCTGCTCAGTACCTTAGCCAGTTCCCTGGAGAAGCGGTGGGAAGTAAGCCCCACTGCGGCTGCGCAGCTGCCATTGGTATCAAAGGAAGTGAAGTGGAAGTGGTTGTAGGTGTGGAGATGTTTGGGCACGGTTGGCATTGCCCACGGGAAACCCCAAGGACGTCTGTTCCTCCTGTAGGATGCTGAGCAGAACAGTGCACTCTCTTTTCCGGTTTCTGTCTTTGGGAGTCCGGCTCCTCCTCTTTGGGGTTCTATCCTATAGGTCAGGTGCTGCTGCTTCCACCAAGCAAACCAGAATCAAGCAGAGATCTTCCCTGGAGCCTACACCAGGTACTGATTCCCGTTTTTAAAAATTGTCCTCTCCTGAGGCCCCCGAGCTGCCCCCACGTCCCCTGTACTGAGAGTCTGTGACACAGCAAACTGCTGACATCGCCACAAGATGTTCATTACCACTTTCTTTGTCCCTGGCTTGGGGAGGCTGGGGGCTGGCTCATTTGGAGAGGGCTCTGAGGAATGCCACTGTCCCCACGCAGATCTGTCTGGTTTGGTTTGGGCTTGCGTTTTGTGCGTTGAGGCTGGCTTTCTCTGTGGGACCACGCGGCCCCCCTGCTTCATCAGCACGTATTTATGGAGCCCTTGTGTTGGGCTGTCCACAGCGATGTCCCCCCACCCACCCAGAGGCGACCCCACAGGAGGAGGAGAGGTAGGAGGAGGAGGAAGAGCATAGTGGTAGCAGCTGGTGGCGGCAGCGGCGGTGATAAAGCCACTAGCACTTGGTAGAACAGGTCCTGGGAGCCAGGCCGCCTTCCAGGCCCTCTGCAGGACTCAGCGCGCTGAAAACTCACGCAGCTCTTGGGAGTTGACACCGTACTCACCAGGCCCATTTTACATGTGGGCGTCCTGGGTCCTGCGCTCAAGGCTAGCAAAAAGGACCTTGATTGTCTCAGCCACTGTGCTCAGCTGAGGAAGATAAAGCCAGTACAACCATAAACAAGACGGAAAACAATAGATGCCGTTGAGGAGATGCAGGGACAGTGTCGAGGAGGCTCAGAGAAGCAGGGGAGGACTCCGTGAGGGAAGAGAGGTGGGCTGCCACTGTGAGGAGAAGGGCACCGGGGCTTCTGTCCAGGCGGAGCAGATATCCAGGCACGGACACTCAGAAGTAGAGCTGCCCGATAGGGAAGCCTTGGGAACACTCACGGCTTCTGGCTGGGCTGAGAAGCCCTGAGCACTAGGCGAATGCACTTGCACAGCGTGGGCCACTGAGGCTTTTGAGCGAGAGCAAGTCTGGATCGGAATTCTTTCAGGAAGGGCTGACCCAGAGTGGCTTATAAAAAATAAGACATTGGAGCACAGGATTTCTCGAGCACTGAAACTGTTCCATGAGGTGTAACGGTGGATACGTTTGTCCACACCCACAAATGTAGAACACGAAGTCAACCCCAAGGTAAACTAAGGATTTAATAATAATATTGGTCTGGCTTGGTCAGTCAGGCATCGGACTTGATTACAGCTCAGGTCATGATCTCAGGGTTATGAGATGAGACCTTGCATCGCGCTCCACGCTCAGCAAGGAATCTGCTAGAGATTCTCTCTCTCTCCTACCTCCCCTGCTTGTGCTCACTCTCTCAAATAAGTAAATATTTGAAAAATAATAATAATACTGGTCCATCAGTTCTCATAAATGCATCGCACTGATACAAGATGTTAGTAGGGGAAGCTGTGTTTATGATGGGGGGGGAAGGTGAATACTTTTCAAACAATTTTCTGTAAACCAGAAACTGCTCTTTAAAAAAACAAAGAATTATTCAGAAGTCCTCCTTTTTTTTTTTTTAAGATTTTATTTATTTATGAAGGGGGGTGGTAGGAGAAGCACAGGGAGAGGGACAAGCAGACTCCGTGCTGAAGGCCAAGCCTGACGTGGGGCTTGATCTCATGACGCTGAGATCATGACCTGAGCCGAAACCCACTGAGCCGACCAGGCGCCCCTCAGAAGTGTTATACTAGTTTCAGATGTACAACACAATGATGCAATAGAGAAGATATCTTTTTTAACAAAATAATCAGATTACATTCCTAAGAAACTCAGCTTTTTGAAAATTGCATTTTGAAAGCAGTCATTTCAAAGGAAGGATTGAGAGTTTCATTCATTTTCCCTGCCAAAATTTAAATAATAAAGTCATTTTTTTAAGTTGACTTTAGTCTTTAACATCCAACGTGGGGCTTGAACTCACAACCCTGAGATCAGGAGTCACACGCTCTTCCAACTGAGCCAGCCAACGGTCCCAGTAAAGGTCACTTTTAATAGTTGGCTGTGTACAGCCATAAAATCCACATATCAGAAAGCACTCTGGTCTTTGCATCTGGAATCTGCCCAAGACTGATAGGCTCTCTTGGCACATGGGCCGCAGCGGGATGGTGCCTGCCACCTTCCACAGTGTACTCCCCGAGCCATTGTCCTCACCTTACTCCCCTGCCACATGTTGGTAAACAAGGCCACTCTACTGATCTGCTCTTGGCCAGGGCCACAGACATTTTCTGTCTCTGAGGTGCTGAATCTGATGGAGCCAGAGTTCCAGTTCTGTTTGGTTACAGTCAATAATGGCACGCTGTATTCCATAATTAGTTGTGTTATATGCAGTTCCTCTGACAAGCCCAGCAGAAGGCCTGTGATAACTGAGTACCTGCTCCGTGCCAGCCACCATGCTGTGCAAGTGATCACATGGGCAGTCAGATCCCAAGGCTGAGGAATCCAGGGAAATCCACCAGGAAAGCCCAGTGGACATTTTGGTGAGAAAATCATGCGAGAGTTAGTAAAGTCCAGATGGATCCTTGGGTCCCTGTGGCCTTTCACCTGCTTCCCAAGTGGTCCTCTTCTCACTTAGACCAGCATTTCCAAAGTGTGGAACCCCATAATCTCTCCAGAGGGCCACAGACATCTGGAGTTTTCAGAGGAAAATGCAATGACACAGTAGTAGTCACATGTGTATCTTGAATTGGAGATGTGAGATCTTAGTGACTTCACAAAAACCCTATTTTGTGCTCCATGACAATTCCATATTTAAATGTTGAACATTGTCCGTAAGGACAGTGTTAATCAGATTGTCTTAAGTAACATTCATTTGACAAGATTCATCCTGGTTAATGTATTTTTCACACCATTGGCTGGCATCAAATTTGCAATTTTTTTTTTTTAAGATTGTATTTATTTATTAGAGAGAGAAAGGGAACACAAGCAGGGGGAGTGGGAGAGGGAGAAGCAGGCTCCCCACAGAGCAGGGAGCCCAATGCAGGGCTTGATCCCAAGACCAGAGATCATGACCTGAGCTGAAGGCAGGTGATTAACTGACTAAGCCACCCAGGTGCCCCTCAAATTTGCTATCTTTATTATTGCTATTGGGTTATATTTTATTCCATTTCACTTTTTTAAAAAAAGGGATTAGTGGCTCAAAAGTGTTCACTGAAGCATGAAATAGTGATGGAAACAGTATTTTATATCCTACAGATCAGAAAAATCTTTCAAATATCCCAGGAAACTATGAGTCCAGATTGATTTAGAATGTCAGGATTTATTGGGTCAAGCAAATCTGCAGGTGTGATTTTACACAAAGCCGTTGAACATTAAAACTTAATAAAAGATACATCTCGTCATGAGTTTGAGCCCCACAGTGGATGTAGAGCTTACTTAGAAACTTAATAGGAGATGCCACAATGAAAATCTGGAAACTGAATTTAATTAGATTGGAGCTTCTGCTTGCCTGGGTCTTCCCCAGTAAAGTCACAAAACCTGGTCAGAGGGGACCAGCAAAGTTTTTGAGTTCTTCAACAGTAAAAGATGGTGATGATAAGGCACTTTTTCAGAAGAAGTACAAAAAATTGCTTTCCAGGACAAAATGATTCAATGCCGAACACAGAGTAAAGACAAAAATGGCCAACCTGTTATTCAAAAGCTTTACTTAGTTAAGCAGATAGGTACATGTTACCATTCCATTATAAACCAATCCACAAAGTTACTCACATACATTATGTTCCATGAGAAACAAAATGAGCTGGTGGTCAAACAGTTTCATTAAAGATCTTATTTTATAGAGATTTTTTTAAAAAGATTTTTATTTATTTATTTGACAGACAGAGATCACAAGTAGGCAGAGAGGCAGGCAGAGAGGGAGAGGGGAAAGCAGGCTCCCTGCGAAGCAGAGAGCCCGATGCGGGACTCGATCTCAGGACCCTGGGATCATGACCTGAGCCGAAGGCAGAGGCTTAACCCACTGAGCCACCCAGGTGCCCCTTTTATAGAGACTTTTTTTAATTAATTTATTTGAGAGAGAGAGAGAATGTATGTGTATGAGAGTGAGGGCAGGGGCCGAAGGAAAGGGAGAAAAAATCTCAAGCAGACTCAGCTGAGCACGGAGCCCGACGCCAGGCTGGATCTCAAGACCCTGATATCATGACCTGGGCCAAAACCAAAAATCGGATGCTTAACCAACTAAGCTACCCAGGCACCCCTTTAGAGATTTTTTAAAATTTCATTTTGTCAGTTTATTTATTTAGGTAATCTCCATACCCAGCATGGGGCTCGAACTCACAAACAACCTCAAGAGCTGACTGCTGACTGAACCAGCCAGGTGCCCCGTCGGAGATCTTACTGCACAACGATTACTAATCTACTCTACCACAAAAGCATTTCCGGTTGCAGACGTGAGCTGGTCTACAGCTCTTGTTGTACGTGCTGTATGTAGACACGAGGCAGGAAGCCACAGTGGTGCTTTGTTCTGTGTCACTGAACCTGCAGTGAAAAGCCATGGGAGGGGTGGGCTATAGACGGAAATAGATGCCCAGGTGTCCTACTGCAGCAGCAGTGGAGGGAGCCGTGGAGGAGGGCTTATTGCTCCAGAAATGAAGGACCGGTCTCTGCCTGCCCACACACGGTCCCACTCCCAAGGAGCTACTTCTTGGATATGATGCTGATTGGACAGATACTGTGGACACAGCACACAAGTTGTGGTCACCGCATGTCCATCCTGCCCCGTAAAGAAATGGGAATAGCGGGAGACCATTGATGTATGTCAAGATGATGGACTGAAATCGCCAAGTCAGCTCATGATCCCAGAGTCCTGGGATGGAGCCCCCTCTCCCTCTGCCCCACTCATGTGTGGTTCTCTCTCACGCTCACGCTCTCTCTCAAATAAATAAAATCTAAAAACAAAAAGAAGGGAAAAGAAAAGAAACCACATAAGTTCAAACCTCAACTTTAGAATAAAATTGCAACACAAGGATGTCTGTTAAAAAGACAACACACAAAGGTAAGATCTGGAGAGGTGCTAACATCA